TAGCTCTGCAACAGTTTTCGGCTTCGGAAATTCCACAATTGCCTGTTTTTTTTTTTTTGCATGGGGAAATGCCTACGCATACCCGCCTCGCGGGGGGCAAGGACGGGTTATGTCGGACTCGCACCGACTAAAACCCCATGGTGTTCCACCTTTGTCGCATATTGGCAGGGCTACGGGAACGCTTTCGCACACATCCGCGGCCCTACCAGCGACTGCCGCCCCATGGCAGCACCTCCTCGGGAGAGGAAAATTCCTCCCCGTTCTCCTTCCCAGATAAGGCGCACCAGAACACATGGCGCGCCTTCCTCCACGGCCTCCAACTACGTCTGAGCAACAGACGCCCCCGCGTCAGATGCACAAAGGCCATGAGGCCAGGAAAAACGAGCACTTAGAAGTACTAGCCTTCCCGACCCCAGCGGCGGATCTGGTCTATGGCTCCGCCGCCAACCAAGATTCGGCTGCGGAGGGTAGGGAGAGCGGCGCCTCGCAATACCGACAATCCTCTCCCCCCGCAGCCCCACCACCACCGCATCAACGGTGCGGCCCCGTTTGAGTCGCGAAGGATAGGGCGAGTGGCGCATCGCCATACCAACACTCCTCTTCCTCCGCGACTCCACCTCGGCTGCAGCGGTAGAGGGTGCGCGAGTCCCCACTCGCTGCAGTCCACCAGCACACATCCGAAGTGGGCTCCCCAAGCCCACTCGGAGCGACCACCTCAGGCCGGCCCTTCACCTCGGGCCAGCCACGTGGGTTCCTCTTTGTTCACCGTGGGAGACCAAGCCACGGCTACTAAGCCCCCCCGCCACGACAAGGCGGGAACCCGTTCGGGGGGGAATTCCACAATTGCCTGAACCTCATCTTGCAACGGCCTGACGCCGTCGGTACTAACCTCGTGTCCAAAAAATTCTAGTTTAGTTTGTCCGAAACGACATTTTGCCAAATTAATTGAAATTCCATATTTATTAAGCCTTTTAAAAATAATTTCTAAATGTTGCCTGTGTTGAACTTCGTTGTCACTAGCTATAAGTAAGTCGTCTAAATAACAAAAGACAAAATCAAGCCCTTGTAAAATGGAGTTCATAAAACGCTTGAAGGTTTGTGCTGCACCACGCAAACCGAAGGTCATTCGAGGAAACTCGAAAAGTCCGAATGTTGTTATGATAGCGGTTTTCTCCACGTCACCTGGTGCGACAGGTATAAAATGATAACTTCTATTGATGTCTAATTTTGAAAATATATTTTTATCCGGAAGAATAAAAGTAAAATCATTCAAGCGAGGAATCGGGTATCTGTCGGGCTTTGTTATCGCATTCAGCTGGCGATAGTCCCCACAAGGTCTTATATCTCCATTCTTTTTAGGAACTACATGGAGTGGACTAGCCCACGCGCTCTTTGAAGGACGACAGATGCCCAGTTCCTGCATGATGCGAAATTTTTCTTTAATTTTTTTATACCTGTCAGGTGGCAACGGGCGCGCTTTCGCGTGCACAGGCGGGCCAGAGGTCTCAATATAGTGGACGACATCGTGTTTCGCGGTATCTCGGAATGACGCTGGTTTAGTGATGTCCGGGTACTTTAACAATAAATCCTGATACGGATGATTTACATCAATAGTTTTAACACTAGGTTGAGATACATTGACAACAGATGCCGAAACATTCAATTCTGTAGTTTTATCTATTAATTTACGCGCGTTTAAATCAACTAATAATTTGTGGTACGCTAAAAAATCGGCGCCCAAAATTGGTTGTTTGACATCTGCCACAACGAATTCCCAACGATAAGGTCGACGTAAGTTTAAGTTTAACACTAGTGTCTTGGTACCGTTAGTTGCGATTTCACTACCGTTAGCTGCGTATAATTTATATTCACTACACTGATTTACACGATCTTTTCTCACGGCTGGTAAAACAGACACATTGGCACCGGTGTCGACTAAAAATCTAAGCCCAGAGTTACTGTCTAACACACACAAACGATTGAATGGAAAAATGGTACAGACCTGAAGATCCTCAGACTGTACCTCGCCGCTCAGTTTTCTGGCTGTGTTGGTTTCCACGCGCAAGGCTTCGTACACTTGTTGGCCTTTTCTCGGAACCGGTAACGGTAGAAGCATAAGTAGTTCTCCTTCCGGGGCCGGCGGGAACCGCTACGGCGCCTGGACTGCGAACGACGCCGGTTGCGATCAGGGGCGCGAGACCGCGACCTCTACTGATCGATCTGGTCCACGGTAGCCTTTACTTTAGCTACCTCAGCCCTCAACAGGGCCAAGTCAAGGGCGGCCGTAGATGTTGGCGCTGTCACGGCATAGGTAGCGCTAGCGGCATAGGAAGGCCGCACAGCCTCCATGAAGTTATCTGCGACTGCTGCTGGGCTGTCCAGGTCCTTGGATTCAGACACAGTGAGCACGGCTCGCACTTGTATCGGAAGAGACTCTACCACAGCACGCGAATATTGCCCAATACTGAATTAACATCACGTCGGGCACGTTTATCACGTCGGGCACGTTTATTACGTCGGGGACGTTTATCACGTCGGGGTCACCAGTTTAGGAGCTGACTCCATAGGGGTGCCTATTGGTGACCATAATAAAAGATAAAATAACTTTTGCTAAAATTTATTATAGCGGAACGTACAATACAGTTGGCGGGCAACTAGTGACTAACTGAAAAATGTTATTCACTAAGTATATAGATACAATATTGCAAAGTATACATGCGTGTATGTGTGTGCTCAGCCACCTACAAGCAGTTTTGTTTCTTCGCTTAAACTTTTGGTCGAAGTGGGAATTAAGGTTATAGAGCTTGTTCTCGGTATAGATAACTGTAGACGACTAGGGTTCCCTATCTCAACGACTACCGATATAGGTAGGGCTGTTATATAAAATCATGGAGTTTGGTGTAAATCTTAAAACAATTCATCCGTTTAAACTTAACCCTTAGCAAAACGAATGTGTTTCCCAGGATGAGAATATCTTCCAACGATAATTATGTTGGTCTATCTTAGGCTATATAGGCTTATAGTTAAGCAAGTCTCTTTAATATTTGGCATCTTACGCAAATAATATTTGTGGGTGTCGTAAGAGGTGACAGAGAGCAACAAATCAGGAGATGGGCAGCAGCATCTTCTTGATAACAACTCAAAATGAAAACCTGCGGTTGGTTGGCAACTCAGTTGCCAAGCGTGGCAACTATGGCCAATATCCCCCCTATAAGGAACTATGTGGGAGGTCAATGTTCAGCAGTGGATGTAACGATAACGCTAAATAGTGACAATAATCACCTTTGCCTTCTTATTAAAAATATATATACCGTCAAAGAAAACAAAAGAATTAGCGTTAACATTTTATTTATTATCATTTAAAGGCCACAATTACAAATCCAGACATTCGGTAAAAAAAACATATATACAATAGTCAAATTACATAAAATTTTATATATTTAAAATATTACCAACAATGGTGTTAAAACACAGAAGTGCAACTTATAAATATTAATTATTTTCTAATAACTTCATCAATCCATCATTCTTATAATAATGATTAGAAATAAGGTTACTTAAAAAAAAAGCTATGCTTAACCGTCCGGATTAATCGAAATAAATAATAAACACTCTTCTTTATTCTATTAGTAATGGCACTAAACGTTACTTTTACGGTTACATAAGGCACCACGCAGTATATACGGAAGTAGTTAAAGTTTTAGGTACATAGTTCACTTCAGACAATTTGTCTATACAATCTAAAATTTTATGATTAAAATATTATCCATCACAAAATAGGTTGCATTTAAAGAAAAATGTAACAACTACTCCAAGTATTTCAAAGTATCAATACTCTATCTATGTACACCAGTCCAGGTTCCATCATTATTCTTATAGTCAAACAGAACAGTAAAATAAAATTGCCAAAAGTATGTAACTTACTGCATTTGTGAATATTTTGTTTATGTCACCTCTATGTATAGTTTATTTTAAAATATTCAAATAGGAGACAGTAAAAAATATAAACACGTATAAATATTCTTTGTTTTTGATTTATTAATGTCTACCTGACCTCTTAGATACATTTCATCATTCAACAACATTTAACGAATAGAAAGCTATGTATTCGTGGAATTAGATTCTTGTATGATGGGATATTTTAATACATAGGCAGTGATAAAAGCACATATTTATGTAAAAATGTAATAAATACATAACACGTGTGTGTGACTGTATAGCCAGTCATATTTATATGCTACATTAAGCTACTATATTTCTACTATAAATAAAGAATAACACAGCTGGGGCTTCAGTATGAATTTATTGACAAATACGTGTAAAAGAATCAATTAACGACCCCATCGCGCCAAGTGGATGAATTCTAATTTTAAAAGAAAATTATAATATGCGTGTGCTGGTAAGCATAAAAGTTTAAAATTATTCAGTACGAAATATTGCGTTCTTAGAAAACATTCTATTTATGTCAAATATGCGTATCACCAAAATACAAAATGTACAGATCTTATTATACATTTGGTTTTCAATAACATTTAACTATTATTATTGACGAGTCGTACTTGAAGCATATTTGAGGTCGTTAATTAATAATTAATTTACACATTACACATTTCGATATTATATAACATCTAACTGATTACATCCAAACTACACACCATAAGTACATACGAAATACACTCACACATAAGTACAAAAGCGTACTGATTCATTGTATATATCATGAGATTAAAACAGACCTCAATTATTGAGAAAAAATGATTTTTATTTTAAAATAAAACAGTATAAAGTTGTCAGTTTATTCAAAATGCTAATGCTAAGGCACAGTTTAAAGGCCTCAATTTCTGTAGTACAAAGACGAAAAAAATGTCTAAAAATTTAATAAATTATTCGATATTAGCAAATACTGACGAGTTCGATCCGAACGTCTTAACTACGGCTAAAATAAAATATAGCAAGACTTAATGACATATCGCTTACTTCATGACTGTTTATGGAGATCTTTAATTTCCAGCATATGTTGGATTTTTGAATGTTGAAGTTGCTTGTTTGTAAATTGGATTCTCGCCCTATAAAATAATAATAAACAGTTAAATAAAAGCAAAAAAATTTTTTTTTTCAAATTATAGCAATTTTTGAAGTAAAAGCGCAAGGTCTCTGCAACCATCAACCCGTAAAAAAAATGCTGGTCACGGACTATCGCAGTACTTAAGTTCTCATACTATAACGCTGCTCCAAGTCAACGGTATGAGCTACTACAAGTAATAATAATAGGGCGCAGATTAAATGAAAATATATAAAAAATGTGACTGTTGTTGCAGTGTTTTATTTCTTTTTATATAATTAGTCCCTCTCTGTTACTATTACAGTGTGAACAAGTGAAGGCCTTCATGTATGCATTTCTGAAAAAATGGTTGTATCCAAAATGTTTAAAGTAGAAATAAATTTTATTCACTTACCGTATCCCATTTTGCCATCATTCGTTCTTTCTCGAAACGAGCGAACTCTCGTCGATCGTGTATCGTGGTGACCATCTTCCACAACATTAACAACGCCAGTCCTACCAGCACAATGGCCGCTATTACACCGAGCACAATTCCGAGGATGAAAACCTGTGGTAAGGAAACCAAATCAGTTACTATCTTACATACGAGGTGTGTTCAAAAAGTAAGGTGACTATTTTTATGAAAAACTATTTATTTATTCATCAATATTTATGTTGTCCCCTTCAAAGTAATCCCCCTCAGATATAATACACTTGTGCCAACGCTTTTTCCAATCGTCAAAGCATTTCTGATAATCACTTTCTGGTATAGCCTTCAGCTCTTTCAGCGATGCAGTTTTTATCTCTTCAATCGTTGCAAATCTTCGTCCTTTCATAGGTCTCTTCAGTTTTGGGAACAGGAAAAAGTCACGTGGGGCCAAATCCGGTGAATAATGTGGCTGAGGCATGATTGTAGTGTTGTTTTTGGTCAAAAAACCTCTCACAAGCAAAAAGCGAAATTGAGCAATTTTGGAACAAATTTCGCTGACACACGTTTCATGGCCAAAATATCCGAAAAAATTTCATGGCAAGAGCCAACCGATATGCCAACATCCTCCGCAACTTCTCTGATAGTGATTCGACGATTTTCCAAAACAATTTTCTTCACTATTTCAACGTTTTCATCGGTTGTTGACGCGCTGGGGCGTCCAGAGCGAGGTTCGTCATTGGCATCTTCTCGGCCATCTTGAAAGAGCTTGTACCACTTATAAACGTTTTTTTTTACTAAGAGTAGACTCACCGTATGCCACTGTCAACATTTCAAGTGTTTTGGAGCACGTAATTCCATTTTTTACATCAAATTTGATGCAAATTCTTTGATCCATTTTTTTTGATAGAAGAAAATCGCCGAGCACACCAAAGTACGTCTGACCTTTGTAACTGTCAAAAATAAACTAAACATGCTATACACTTCAAACTTGAAACATATGCTCAGGACATGTGTACCAACGCAACAAAATACAAAAATCGAAAATCGAATGTGCGTTGCCCGCGAAATTCAAAAAGTCACCTTACTTTTTGAACACACCTCGTATGTGTTTTTACGTGGTAGAGCCATGCTGCAGCCATATTGTGGTTGTAGCATGAATGGGTCGGCGCGACCGGGGTAGGACCACGCTCTCACAGAACAGAACAGCTTAATGCTGTTGTGTTTCGTATGGTGAGTGTAGAGAACCGGAGACCCTTTTTACTAGAAACGAGGCATTCCATCTCAGTCCTCAGGACTGGCAACGCATCTGCATTTTGATTCTTAATTGAAAATAAATGTAGATATCTATGGGCCACAGCATCCGCTTACCATCAAAGTGGACTGTGTGCTCGATTGCCACCCTTATTCTATAAAAAAAAAAAACATAAAATCCATCAATTATCATCCATCCCCAACCATCTTGACTTGTACATACGTCTCGTATGAGCTGACGAATTATAAAAATTCCATGATCATAAGAGCGCGTTCAATGCCTCCGTGACTCGAGGGAACGATTGTGACTGACTGCGACTGATTGAAAGAGTTTGCAAAATGTACCTACAAACTGTTGGAATGCATAATCAATTATGCAACAGTAATAAAGTTGTATTATATTAACATCTTAAGAAATATAACATATAAGTGTTCATTGATTAACATTTTTATAACTACATACCTTTCTTGGACAAACATTTTCTTTTTGTGCTCTAATGTGCAAGTGCTCTGTTCCATTGTATGAATAAATAAAAACATAGAGGCAATCATCATCGTCGTAGAAATTGCACAGATGTTCGTACAAAGTTTCATTAACTGCAAACAAAATAGTACTTTAATTGTATTATTGATAATGTGAGTAAATAATAAACTATTTTATGTAAATTTATAACAGTAACATAAACAGAGTTAAAAAAAAAATTGGAAAAGCGATGACCAAATTTTTTTAAATAATTAACTTAGTTTCGTTATGTATCCTACAGACACATAAATGAACTCTAGAACAAGAAGAAATTGTAAAAACATCGAAACGTTTAGGCATACCTTCAATTTTGCCCTCTTCAATAACGGGTTGCAAGTCGCATTTTCCGCACTCCTTTGGCTCGTCGGGATTGTAAAGTCGACCACGCTTGTGCACTTGACAAAGAACGCATTCTTGGAAATCCATACATTTTCCAGGTAAAGCCTTAAACAATATTTTATAATATAATTTATTAAAGTTATATTAAAGCCTTTATGTGAGAAAAAATTATTAAATATTAAAATTATTAATATGTAATCAAATTGTCGTGTTCAAAATATATCATTATTATATAAACTTGTCGGTCCTATTGCATTAAATGAAAAAAAAAATGTCTTTAATAAATTAAATAAAAACGCTAAAGGGTGCATTAGTAGGACAAAATAAGAAAAGGTTAATGTATATTGTCTAAAACCGTTACTCTTATATATAGCTTATATATTAGCGCTCTATAAAAGTTAAAAAATACTTATTTTATATCATAAATCATTTAACAAAACTCATTCTTGAAAATTTTATTCAAATAAGTGCACATAATTGTTTTCAATACGTAATTATACGTGGTTATTTCGCCATAACCCGCCAAATTTGCAGAAAAGGTTCAGAATAAGTAATATAGGCACAAATAAGAATAAAAATTAATTTAAAAAAAACCTCACACGTTGTGTCCTTTTTATCTTTTAAATTCACAATGCGTCGTAATGCATCATTTAAACTGATTTTACTGCGCGCGCACATCCGCACGTCCGGTATCGGTATCCGGGTCGATTGGTAGGCAAAAATATTGCCCATAAATCACATTCAATTTGAGATAATTTCTAATAAAAGTAGAAGCCCTATTTACTCGTATTTTCAAATATTGCAATAACGGTATATTATTATTTATATATTTTAACTTTAGATTTAAATTTGGCCACTCTTTTAAAAATAACCCGGTATAAATGCACAACGTAACGAACTTATGTGTACTTACGGGGCTCTTTTCGCAATATATTCCAGAGTAGTGGCGATCCTCGTCGACATCACAAACACACTGGCCGCATACACATTTTCCGTGGCCACTGCAGATTTTTCCATCTGAATTAAAATAAATAATTTATATTCAAATCAATGACATGTAATTATTTTTATAAATATGAAGAATAATATTTGTAGTACTTGTCAATAGTTCAACATTTGACAAAAGGCTCTCTTCGTATTTTGTCCAGACTAAATGTTATATTTAATAGTACTTTTAACAACCGGATTATATACGTACTGGATGCACGACACGGCGATTCGTCCTTCAAACATTGGCAAGCGGGCCCAGTATATTCAGGTTTGCAACTACATTTTCCACAGACGCACTCTCCGTTTTCTGGACCGGAGCACAGTTTACCCTTGTTCATGTCGCATGTGAAGTTGTCGCACTCGCAGAAGGGGCCGGATATAACCTTTTAAAATGAAATAGGTACATTTGTATTAAGTTATATAGTTAGTAAGTAAGTCTTTTTTCTTACAAATTTTTATTTCAATTGTTAAGTAATACTTTACAATATAAATGCTGATACGCCTCTAATACTCCCACGCAATATAATACCACCATTATTACATTGTACTATGAAACCGAGTTGATAGACAAAAAATAATCAATTCTATTAAAAAAAAGATATGGGAGGTACCACTCCCTTACCAGTTTCCCGTTGCTAAAAAGCAGTGCTTGCATTACCGTGTTCCGGTTTAAATTATATGGAGTCTGTATAATTACAGAACGAGGTAATTACATCTTAGTCCACAGAGGTGACAACGCATCTATAGACTTCTTTGGTTTGAAGTTGGCTGCAGTAACCACTTACCATCAGGTGAATTGTTAGCTCGTCTGTGCACTCAGTTAACAAAAAAATCTAAATATTATAACGAAGTGTGATCTAAGTTTTACTCAACAAGACAATTCATACAAAATGCTAGGTACTGCTCTACCTTTTGACTTATATTATATACTTATACTGCACAACACATTGTACGCGTCATGTAAAAAGAAATCTGGAAGAAAGTGGAGGGGGTGTGTTTGCGCACGGGTACACTCGCTAACGAAAGAACTAGGCCCATTGTTTCATTTTTAGCGTTCCGTAGTCAACTAGGAACCCTTATAGTTTCGCCATGTCTGTCTGTCCGTCTGTCCGTCCTCGCTTAATCTCTGTGACCGTTAGCACTAGAAAGCTGAAAGAATCATGCCCACTTTCCATACATTAAAAAACCTGATATTGAAAGTTCATGTATAATTATAAGGTATAGTAGAAAAACTACATGTAGGTTTAGAAAATAATGTCATATAGTTATTTTTACGATATAAACGCTACGAGGCCCAAAAAATTTAGGTTAGGATTTGCCGTTACCAAAGAGTTCATAAAGAAATTATTTTATTATTTTTATTAATCTGTACTATACAAAGACTAATAAAGAAACATAAAATGATGTCTAAAACTCAGGAACAGAGTTGAATAAAGTAAAGTAGCACTGTGTAAAATGGAACGTCCTAGAAAAAGGGTAGTTGAGATGCGTTCAAAATATAGTAATACGTTTATCCTTGACGTAGATTGAGCGCGTTTATTTTAACATTGTGATAAGCGTATTAAATTTACAATTTAATTACCTGAATTTTGAGATTTATTTCATTTCTATACATAGTCAGGTGAAAAATGGGCATCTTTCTTTGGTACCAATATGTGTATTAATCACGCCGACAAAGTGGTAAAATAAAAATTGGAAAAAAATGTTTTATTAGGGTAGCCCCCCTATATGTAAAGTGGGAAGTGATTTTTTTTTTAATTTCAACCCTAACGTATGAATATTGTTGGAAAGGTATTTAAAAATGAATAGGGGTTTACTCAGATCATTTTTTGATAATGTCAATAATTTCGGAAATAATCGCTCCAAAAGTAAAAAACAATGTGTCCCCCCCCCCCTAACTTTTGAACCTAAATTTAGAAAATATGAAAAAAATCTGAAAAGTAGAACTTTGTAAGGACTTTCTAGGAAAATCATTTTGAACTTGGATGGAAAGTCGGAGCGCCTGCCGCGGAGCGTGCTGGAGCACGAACATAATGGATACCCACCTTTAAACTCATAAGTGGGAACACTTATTGTGACGAACGGGAAACTACGGAACCCTACACTGAGCGTGGCCCGACACGCTCTTGGCCGGTTTTTGAATTAGCCTTTCGCTCGTGGCTTCGTATATTGGTTATTGGTAGGTGATACATTGAAAAATATATTAGATATAATATCATCCCCTACGCGAATATTAAATGTTTCTGTCATCATGTCGACCACATGATCGCTTTTACAATAATCGCCCCCTATTTCCTTTACCTTGGTGCATAATTTTCCCATTATGTTGCTCCCATTTAATTTACTTTTTTCATTAACTAGGTCAGTTATCCTTGTAAGGTTCCAGCTGCTGCTGCTTTTGCTGGCGACATACCCCTTTATTTGAGACCAGTCCATTTCTATAGGATTTATGTTAGGGTGATATGGGGGCAAACGAAGTACAGAATAACCTGCTGCGTTTAATATGGCATCGATATTAAATTTCTTAAAAATTCTCTATGTATTTTTTATTAAGTTGTACAACTCCGGCTTTAGCATGTTTTCTTCAAATTCGTGTGAATGTATTGAATGTTCGTGTAGCATCGAGTTGTGTGTTGTGGTACGATGCATTGTCGACTACCACGACTGAATTAGGCGGTAAATTCGGCATCCGTTTAGTACGGAGCCACCGTTCGTAATTCTCCGAATTTATGTTGTCGTGGTAGTCGCCGCTTTTTATACCGGCTTTGAACCACTTGCGTTCAATATGACCAAGTTTAGATAGAGGTTTTTTAATGCATTTGGTCTGTCCTAGAATAGTGAGGAACTATCAACGTATGATCCATCAGTGTAAATGATAGGTTTTCCTTCCTCTCTATATTTTTTTATCTTTGTCAGATATTGAATAAAACTATTATTTACGGATTTTATCGCGTTTAATTACTTTAATTTTTTTTTTTATTATTATCCCGACGTTTCGGGTGCTTTACAGCGCCCATGGTCACGCGGGGGGGACTGAGATGTTTGACGTCCCAATGTCATAGTTAGTCTGGCTACCTTCAGTTTTTTAATATTAATCTTTGGTCCGATTTACGCAAAACGAGCTTATAGTATCATGAAGTCTTGCAGTGGTATGCTTGGGTTTGGGTTTAATTTTGTTAATTATAGGATCCCAAGCAGATGGTAGCACCCAACCATCTTCTCTATTGAAATTTGGATGTTTTTTAATTTCAATAGCCTCGCGTATCATCCTTGGTAGGAATCGGTGTTCTTTTGCGAGAATTTGTGGTTTATCAAATCTAATGTAATGGTGGGGACGATCTTGAACATTTTCGCAGACTGCAGACTTCCCGGAGCGTCGGTGCTTCACATCAGCTATATGTTCCTTCACGCGGGTTTTTATAGATCTCTTTGTTTGACCTATGTAAGAGAGACCACATTCACAATCTAGCTTGTACACACCTGCATCTTGTAGAGGAATATTACATTTGATGGATGGTAATTATTAATAAATATTTCTCAGATATTTAACTCTTTGAAATCGAATTTGTGACTGCCCGAATAAAAAAATTATATTGATTGTTAAAACCCTTTTTTTAACATTCGTCTGAGACCAACTTTGCTATGGTAGCCTATTCTTTTTCAGTGACGTGCAAATTTTGAATGATTCTTTTTATAACACCCTGGTCAAAGCTGTCAACGTCTGTTTTTGGTTTTTGTATGATTCTTTTCTTTTTACCAGGAGTTCGGAAGTTCGAAAGTTCCCTCTTCATAAAACAATATACGTCATAAATAATTTTTCTCACTTTTCTATGTGAAGGAAAAGGGGCCATCTTCTGGCGGGCAAGGTGTTCTGCCCGGGTAGCGGCCAATGTCTCCGTGTGATAGTTCGGAGTTATTCTATACCTGCTCAGGCCGGAGGTCGATAGTGCAGTCTCGTTGTCGACGAATGTGTAAGTGCCAGAGGATTGCCTTGTAGTCTGCGGTGAGTCGAGAAGAAGGCAAGTAATCTGCGAGAGTGCCGTGAAGCAAAGACGAGCAGTAAGGCTCAGAGTCGTGCTGAACACTGTATAGCGCAGAGAGTAGCTTGAAGGAACAGGAAGCATTATTATTCCAGTGCTGCGATGAACCTTGTGAAGCTAGATGGCTTGCAGGATATGACGACTGCAGACAATATCTGCTTGGGAGCGAATGGGTGGGGTACTTTATAACAATGTGAAACTTGAATTTTCCGAAGGTTGTTGGTTGCGTGTTCAGATCACGTCGGTTAGTCACCAGTTTAGCGGAGGAATGAAAAGGGGAGATATCCCGCCGGGCAGTGTTCTGCCCGGAGAGCGTTCAACGCTCCACGTGATAATTCGGAGCTATTCAATATACACTGTTTTTACTCGGAACTTTGATAGCACGATTTCGGCTTCGATGTGTTTCGCTTGTGGCGCGACGACAGTGCCGCCACAAAACCATTTCGTAATTAAATACTTTTGTACTTTTTGTACATACCACCAAATAGTCCGATAAATCGCCTAATGCGTAACTTGACAGCCAGCATTCTATCTACATGATGCGACATATACATAATTAGATAATAGAATAATCTATTTTAACTAGATATAAGTTTTAAGTATACTAACGTAATGGATTTTTGCTGTCCGAAATCCATACATTTAAATAAAATTGAAGTGTATGTTAGTTATATGTGGATAAGTAAGCTTGATTGATTGGATTGGATGGATTAAATAAATGGTCTTTGATTACACTAAATATACTTTACTAGGTACTTCGCACTATATCGCCGGCTCATTGCCCCTTCAGCTTACTAAACCATTCGACTATGTCGGTTACTCTGGTTCTACTGCTGATATCCTCGTTTTTGACATGACATATGACTTTTGATTTGTCCATATTCATCTTCAGACCTTTCCATTGGGAGACACTATTGAGATCATTGGGCGTAGTGCTTAGTTTCACCAGCGATTCTGCCATAAGGATTATATCATCGGCAAATGGAAGGTTAGTGATGTACTCGCCGTTGACGTTAATACAGTATTCTTTCCAGATCAGATTATCACTTATACTAAAACATAATTAATTTTTGTCGTTTCTATTAAATAATAATATAATTTTGTGGGGTATTAATATAGTTTTCTCATACAAAAGAAGTTAATAAATATACATAAAATTCAGTAAAATAAGTAAATAAACAATACATAAATAAAAAAATTAAATAAAAATTTATTATTATTATTTCTTATAATGCGAATACTACACATTGAATAAAACTAATTTTACGGATTTTACGGGAAGTCTCCCCCGTGACCATGTGTGTGGAAAAGTGCCCGAAACGTCGGGAATTAAAGTTAAAATTAAACTCGATAAAATCCGCAAAATTATTTTATTCAATGTGTAGTATTATTGTAGTATAAGTGCGATGACAGACAAGAGACACGTGTGGGGACGTACCTTGAGCGGGTCGTCGAGCTTGTTGCACTCGCAGACGCCGCAGATGCAGGCGCCGCGGTTGGAGCAGAGCGGGCCGCTGGAGGCGTTGGCGGGCCGGCAGCCGCGCTCCTGCTCCAGCGACGCGCCGCCCTGTGCCGAGCACTCGCAGCGCTTGCCGAAGCGGCCCGCGCCGCACACGCACACGCCGCACGCCCACGTGCCCTGCCCACTGCACACCAGCGGGCTGTCGCTGTACGCCTGCCGCACACACACACACACATCTCACTCGCAGCGCTTGCCGAAGCGGCCCGCGCCGCACACGCACACGCCGCACGCCCACGTACCCTGCCCACTGCACACCAGCGGGCTGTCGCTGTATGCCTGCCGCACACACACACACACACATCTCACTCGCAGCGCTTGCCGATGCGGCTCGCGCCGCACACGCACACGCCGCACGCCCACGTCCCCTGCCCGCTGCACACCATACGGCTGTCGCTGTACGACCGCTGCACACACACACACACACACGCACACTCACACACACACATCTCACTCGCAGCGTTTGCCGAAGCCGCTCAAATTCCGTCAGCGTGCGACGCATGGTATACACCATACATATTACATAGCATAAATTTTAAATCTAAAAATATACTTTAATGAAGTTAATTGAAAGTAAATGTTTTAAAATCATTAAAGCGTACGAGTCCATTTGTTTTATATTTAAAAATCTAATAAAACTCAAATAATAAACTTACATGATGTCCTGGATGTTCACAGGGACAGTCGCACAGCATCTCCAACTCAACTGTCAGGCTCTCCGACATACCAACAGGATAAATGGTGAAAGTTTCCTTCCACTTGCTAGGGTCTTTAGGACACTCTTTTAAAGTTATTTCAGCTGTGAACTCGACGACATCGCCCACCTATAAAATAAATCATCAGTAAAATGACAACAATTTACTAAGGGTTGTATTAGACAATGTAAACCTTAGTAGATTGTGCAGCATAATTATTAGCATTAAAGTAAATACAATATATTTTTGAGATTTAAGTACTTTCATATTAAATAGATTTTTCAACAATTATATTTTTTCAAAGAAACGGATTAATTATGTTTTAACGAATTTGAATCAATTCCAAGTGCTAAATACTACCATACCGTAATTTAATTACCATAATTTGTCAGGTTTTCTCAAAATGTTTCGTTTCTCGTCACATTAATCCATGTTGGCAGACTTCTCATGTTTTCGAACTATTTTATTCCTCGGGCATGCATATTTCTTAGCTGTGTTTTCTTTCAACGCCAAGATAACTCAGCAATCAAAAATGCATTTACCAGCGGAAATCAAGCCCGGGTTGCTGGCGTACAGTGAAATTTCACTGTAAGCCAGGGGCTAAGCCCCCTGAGCAACTATGGCTCAACTGTATTTAAGAATGTAGTTTTATATAATTCTTCTACATTACGACGGTATAAACTGATGACGAACACGATAGAGAATAAATAAGGGAAATAATGTATCTCATACTTTATAATTGTCCAGCATATCGTGGATGATAGTCACTAAATTTCTTCCTTTTAATAATACTACTCATAACCGGTGGATCGCAATAAAAATATCCAGCGCCTACTATTTTACTACGCACGCACAAATTCGTAACGGTCGGTCGACCGGTCGGCATACACGTTGTGAATTGAATCGCACACAAAGGAGTACGCATACGCGTAGTTGTATACATAAATACATTGTTGTACATAAATCACATTCAATTTAAAAAAAGAAGCCCTATTTACTCGTATTTAAAAAAATGCAATAACGGTATATAATTATTTATATATTTGAACTTAAGGGGAAATATAACCTCAAATGGCTTAGCAAGATCCTCCGTTATGCCGAAAATATTGCAGCATTAATTTTGAAATAAATATATGGTAAAATTGAGGATTCATGTTAAGGACTATGTTAAACGAAAACACGATTCCGTAAAATTTTCTCGATAGAAAAAAAAATCCAAAGTTACCTCCAAACTGAACAATAAACCGCTGTTATTCATAAAATACTTTAAATAAGATCATGAAACTTTACATACTAACTGAACTAACTATAAAGCAGGGCTTATGTTATTTACTTTTTTAAATACCATTATTTTCACTGTAAAAATAAATTACCTAAACTATCGGCGTCTTGAAGCTTGATTCCTGCCGCCTGGTTAGTATCGCTTCAGCTTTTGAAGGGGGAAGTTGTGTCGCTTACGATCAGAATACACATTACGCAACAGGACGACGTAAAATTAAAATGGGAAATAACCGTAATAAAAATAAGAAGCGACTGTGTTGGCGTTAAGAAACAGGCATAAATATGATAAACATAATGAAATAAGTATCTAATGACCTATTTACTTACAGTATTATAGTCAACTAAATCTAAAAAATACCTTTTGACGTTTCACATTAATCATTCCGCAATAACTTTGCACAAGCGTACTCACACGATTAAAAATAACCTTTTACGTAAATCCAAAGAATTATGAAGTTATCTATATTTCTTTACAACGTGTATAGTTTTTTATCACTAATTTAAATTTTAATTTTTCAAACAAAGCAAAATATTAAAAAATAACCAGTATCAACTTTTTTTTACTTGACGTCATATCAATATGTCGCTATGTAGATCACCGTAGTGCTTGGATGATTAAAATGCATTGTTATGCGAATAATCGGCAAAAATATTTAAATAATCGGTAAAAATATTCAAATAATCGAATTATTAATTTTCTTGAATGTATTATTTGTTTTATTTTATTTTTAAAATTCCAATTACATGAATCATAAATAAAACAACTTTATTTTTTTAATTTCTCAACATTTCCGACATTTTGGGAGTTTACTGTCCGCAATTTTTTTGATTTTGTGTTTGTTTTCTTATTTTGTGACCCGGCTTTAACTTTTTGGACCGTTTCTTCTATATTCGTTGACCTTGGCAATTTATATACTGGACTCTGACTAAGCAAGTGATCATAATGTCGAAAAGAAAACGTAGTTGTAGTCGTACTTTAAACCGTCAAGCTCGTGCATTGGTGGTGAAATTACACGAATATTTTGAACGTGAGTCGCAAAACGGTGGGCCTCTTTTACCAGTCACATAAGTGCTGGATCGTGTCGGTGAAGCACTCGGGATTGGCAAACGCACCGTTGCAAAGATCGTCACTGGAAAGTACCGACCTTCAGGCAGTGAGAATAATTTACTTCACACGCCGAAAAAACGAAAAAAGAACAAACCAGTAACAGGTATCGATCAATTCGACACAGATGCAATTAGAAAACATGTCTACGGCTATTTCATAAGAGGCGAATATCCTACTGTGGCGAAGTTGCAAGTAAGTTTAATAGATGCCGGTTTGTACAGTGGTAGTGTAGAGTCATTGAGAACCATTTTAAAACGCATAGGCTTTCGATACATAAAACTTGACAAACGTAAAATAATTATGGAGAGACACGACATAGTCTTGCAAAGAATAACATTTTTAAAAGAAATGAAAAATATAAACGATTGGGACAACGTTATATTTCTTGATGAAACGTGGTTAAACGCCAACCACACTGTAGCGCAAATATGGACAGATGACAATACAGCAACTTGCTTGAAGGTGCCCGCGGGGAAAGGTGGGCGCCTCATACTTTGCCATGCGGGATCAGCCGGAGGAGGATTTGTACAAAATTGTTTATTAGCCTTCCAATCAAAGAGTACAAGAGATTACCATGAGGAAATAGATGCAGAAAAATTCAAAGAGTGGTTTATAACCCTTTTACGAAATATTCCTGCGAATAGCAGCATAATAATGGACAACGCCCCGTACCAATCTGTTCAAATCGACAACCCATGCGAATAAGAAAGCAGATGTAGTAGCATGGCTGCAACACAAAGGAGTGGAAGCGGACATGAAGTTACTGAAAGCTGAGCTAATACAATTAGTAAAGCAAAATATACCACGTAAACCTTTATATGTTATTGATAAATTAGCAGAAGAGCACGGGCCTAAAGTTATAAGATTACCACCATACCACTGCCAATATAATGCTATTGAATTGATTTGGGCCCAAATCAAAGGCTCGTTCTTATATGAAAATTTAAAATATATTAACTTTACTACAACTACACACCCAAAATGAAAATATCTTATGCTTTTTTTACAGGCTACGTAGCACGACATAACACCAAGCCAACTTTCACGACGAAGAAGATGGAAGGTTTGCTCAAGGAAGCATGTACCCATGTCACAAAGAATGATTGGATTGGATTTTGATTGCATTATTGAAAATCAAATAATAATTAATCTTAACAACGACAGCTCAACTAGTAGTAGTGAAAGTGATTGAATAAATTTATTTTTAATCTAGTTTCAATCTTAATTTTTTATAACTTTTCCTCTATAAATAAGCAGTTACAACAAATACGAAGAAAATGATAAATCTTTTGTTTTAAAATTATACTTTTCTAATTTATTTTGGTATTATTTAAACCTAACTGTGAATGATTACCAACTCTAACTAATCGAAATCGATTTTTTTAAGAATCGATTATTGTGCGTTCTCATTTTTTGGTTGGCATGCTTGGTGCAGTAAATCTGACAGCTGTCAAAAGGTATTTCTTAAATTTGGTTGACTACAGTGATTACAACCATTTCGGTACATAGCATACGACGCGCGGGGAATTGGGGGCGAAATTAGAATTTGAGCTGACTTACTATATCCCCTTAAGTTTAAAAGTATAGCATAGCTACTCTTTGTAAAATAACCATAACATAATGAAACCCATGGTCACGGGGAGGACCCTGTGACCATAGCTGTAAAGTCTTCGAAATATCGAGTATATAAATAAGTTAACATACGCGATAAAATCCGTAAAAACGAGTGTTATTTAAATGTGTAGTGTTCGCGTAAATATAAGAAATCATTAACATAAAGATCTACACAACAGAAAGTCAGCACGCGTACGCGTAGTTGTTGCCCATAAATCACATTCAATTTAAAAAAGTAGAAACCTTATTTACTCGTATTTTTAAAAATTGTAATAACGGTATATAATTAAGATATACACAAAAGAAAGTCAATTACTACAACATTGATCTTCCTAAACATTTATTGTCTAAAATGCAACAGACAAATTTAATAAAGAGTATACTCATTTTCTTACTCACTTCAGTTTTTTGTTATTAACAAGCGATATAAATTATACTGACCTTCAAACCATCACACGTGTTAGTCTGTACGACGTTGTCCTTGCTACCTAGACATGATGAGTAATACGCGAGCTGCACAGCATCACTAGACGTATGTTTCATCTCCACAGTCGACGTTATTTTCTGCAAAGAGAATATCAAAAATATTAATATAACAAAGTAGACATTTAATTCATTCATGACAGCCTATCGGAAGTCCACTGCTAAACATCCCCCATAGATGTTTGATGATGACGATGATGATGTGTTACAAGGACCATTTTGCCATATTTGCAACGCTTGTCGGGCGGGTTGGTAATTGATAGCTTATTAAAAAAACGTATGTTTACAACATACTTTGCTGCTACACTGCATGCTTGCAGTGCATCTACTGTTATCTTATAAAGAACACCTCTGTAGACTTTTTTGTCGTCGGTTGCAAGAGTAGCCATTTTTACCATCGGGTGGACTGTTAGTTTGTGTCCACACATCTTAGCATCAGAATATTTCATAAGTAAGCAGTTACCGAAATCATGATATCTGTGATCTCCATATTTACATGCAAGACTAGAATTAAAGTTAGTTAAAGTTACATTCTCTACACGTCCCACTGCTGGGCACAAGCCTCCTTTCATTTCTGAGAGGTTTTTAGGGCAAGGAAGTGTCCACCGCGCTGCCTCAATGCGTGTTGGCGTTGGAGTTCACATGTCTTCGAAATAATTTTTTTTCTAATTTCTCATACATGTAGGTTTCCTCACGATGTTTTTCTTTACCACCGAGCACGTGGTAAATCAGCACTTAAATTATTAACTATGATTAATAATTATTAATAATTTCATTGGTGGCAGTGGTGATCGAACCCGGTTTGCGCGCGTACTGTGAAATTTACAGCAAGCGCTAACCATCTGAACTACCACAGCAAGAATAGTGTAACAATAGGATTTTCATATTTTTTATTTGGCTTTAAGGCAGGACGCAATTAAAAATAGGTAGAAATAAAAATAAATAAAACTTAAATTAGCACTTGTTTCGATGTTAACATATTTATCTATTTTAAGTCAATCCTGTGTTTCTCAGACAAATGAATGTTCTATTTTTAAGAGAAATAAATTTCTTAAACCATAATTAACCAATCTCAGTTAGTTCCCAAAGTAATAAGTAGTTTAAAATTTTAAAGTCGCATAATATACTTAATACTTTCGCAGATAAATAAAGGGCGAGTAAGCAACACAACTCACATTATACTGTTCCCGTACAAGATCCACCACATTATCAGAGTCTTCGCTGAGAATACCACTGCTTGATCCTTGGATGTGCTTACTCAGTTGCTCGTAAACACTTATCTGTTCCGCTGTTACAGCAAAGATTACATTGATAGCATGCTCCTTCACCTAAAAAAAATAGTTTTATTAGCGTAGAACAGCTACCCATTATTATATAAATGTACTGTTATTAAAAATGCCTACTACTAAAATATTTTGTACAATGGAATCATACAAATCCCATATGGCAACACAGAGATCAAATTAACCAATTCTATAGCTATAGGTAAAATAACTGTGAACAGACTATATTTCGAAATTTTTCTCTCAAATAAACTATGGGTTTTTTGCCATCGCTGTCTTCGGTGCGTATATTATGAGTAATTTTGTTAAGTTTAGCAGTGTGCTTTATTATTTAGGGGCTCATCACCGCTTGCCATCAGGTTACATACTGTCCTAAAGTAAAAAAAAAATCAATTTAAAAAAGCATTTAAACTTTTTACCCTGTCATTTCAGACTATTAAATCAGCTCTAATACCTTGAGATTAATTTGAGAAATACTGGGATAATCTTGTATAGTCGAGTGTGTGTATGAATTATTCTCCATGTGACATTCTCCATCATTAGGTTGTACGATTCCGCCAAGCTGAAAAATAAAAAATATATACTTAAGACATTTTTGTTGAAGCGTAGCTGCACCTTCTTTTTGGGTAGTAGTAGTACGTCAGTAGTTTACGTCAATTTTGAACATGTTCTCATACTTTTAGTATTTTATTACCGACTCAACGACTGCCTCGATGGTCCAGTGGTTGTAGTAGTGCGACTGCTGATCATGAGGTCCCGAGTGCGACCCCCAGATCGGGCCAAAAATATCAGTTATTGAGTTTTTCAATTACAAAATTCTCAGTAGCTTCCCGAAGTCAGGAAGTTGGCGATGTCTCACCCCTGTGCCTCAGAAAGCACGTAAAGCCGTAGGTCCTGCGCCTGATCTCTCTCCGATTGTGTCGGTTTACCGTACCATCGAACTATGAGAGTGAGGGAATAGAGAGTGCACCTATGCTTGCGCATACACTTGGGCACTATACTCCTGTCCTGTGCCGATGGTTAGTCTCTGTTGAGGGTGGTCACCGTGAACGAAATTCGGTCTGGAGGACCCTCTCAACTGTTGTGAGATTAATACATTCGTCCAAGTGCACATTCCAGATGCATTATTTTTAAATTTCCTTAAACTCCGGAACAACATTGGTGAAAAAAGAATGTAGTTAAAAAATAAATCACATGTGGCATGGTGTGGCATTATATGAGAATCCACCATCCCATTTCATTTTGTTGGAGATTTAGGTGACGACTAATGGAAACCCACAAACCAGACTGAGAATAGCAGAAATAATCGTTTTAGAGTGTTCCGATCTGAGGGGTACATAGATACCCTTAAAACTACAGACTACAGACTCACTCAATCTTGGGCCTCATAGGTGACAAGACATCATTAGCTTCTTTGTATGAAGTTGATTGTAAATTTCTTTGTCACTTCAAGATTAAACTATTTTTAACTGATGTGATCTATAGAGTAAGTAGCAGCTTGATGCAGTGTTATAATTTATCATGTCTGTATAAAGGCAGAAAGCAGTTTACTCTAGTATTCCTTATCATTATATACATTATGTCTTCGCCGCAGATCCACTAATAAATATATATACAAAATTAGCGAGATAAGTTAGTTAATAAAGTGCCGGCAAGTTGGCAAAATTAACACATATTTATTGTTCTCGTACTTTAAACCCGTTTTTAATTATTATCGAGTGCAAATTCCCCCGTTAACAACCTTAGGAAGTTTATTATTAATTTATAATAGTGCAAAATAGTAACGAACACAATACCATAATGATTTCTTATATTTACGCGAACACTGTACATTGATTAAAACTACTTTTACGGATATACGGACTTTTACGGAAAACCAGTTTAACTTCTTTCGAATTTTGATCACGGCGGCCAGTCTCAAAGGAGATCCATCAACGCAGGACAGGATAACATATTGCATGTATGTAAGCAAACTTTAAAATAAATAGGGTGAAATCGTTCAATTCAGTGTTCAAATAAAACTGCTTATTCCAGAAAAGCCATGTTATTAGTCAATTGCACGACAGAGTTTAGCCGAAATCCGAATGAGCTCATTACATACTCATATAGCTGGTACGCTCACTGCTGACAACGCAGTCTTAAAAATCATTTCCTACTAACATAACAAATGAAGATTGTTACTAACCTTTCCATCGCCGGCGTAATGGAAACCCGCGTCAGTGGAGAACACGAGCAGTCGACGGGCTTTTTCGCGCCATCCGATTTCCCGCTGACACACAATAGCCTGCATTATGGCGTCGAAACCACCTTCCGGTGCGTCTAAGTTACCCGACACGTCAGCGCCTGCCACTGCTTTCTGTTGTCACAGTAATATAAAAGTAACTATGTGATCTGTAGTTAACTGATCTTACCGTAATCATAACTAATGAAAGTTAAAAATGCAGTCTATGATATTTATGACAAGGTTCTGGAGCAATTAGCCCGCCGCTACTTCAGTTGGCGAACTTCACATGTCATATTAATATTTTTTACAGACATGCATGTTTTCTCACGATGTCTTCATTCACCACCGAACACGTGAAAATCAGCACTTAAAATCGCAATTTAACAATGTACTTTTAAACTTAGGGCGAGCACATAGCCCTGAGTAATAAGTAATAACCAATGACATAAGAAATCAACCAAAAGAAAAACCATTTTATCGCAGCAAGAATACATTTTATAGTCAGATAAGTAGTGTCAATGTCAGTAATGAAAATATTTAAAATGGAGTTTTACTTACATGAGCCGTGGTAGCTCAGATGGTTAGCGGTCGCTGTAGTACGCTGTAATACGCTAGCAAACCGGGTTCGATCCCCGCCGGCACCAATGAAATTGTTAATTGCAATTTTAAGTGCTGATTTACCACGTGCTTGGCGGTGAAGGAAAACATTGTGAGGAAACCTGCATGTCAGAGAAATAAGGGAAAAAAAATATTTCGAAGACATGTAAGTTCGCCAACACGCACTGGGGCAGCGCGGCGGACAATTACTTGCCCTAAAACCCTCTCAGAAATGAGCGGAGGCCTGTGACCAGCAGTGGGACGTATATAGGCTGTAACTTTACTTCACTTTTTTACTTACATCGAAGAAATTTGTATCATTGCTAAGCGACATTTGATTCTTAAAACCATAAGGTGCCGCACAGCCGTCGCACGGTGAAATCAAACTGAAACAATGAAATTATTTTTATATAAACCAAGGTGATAATGCAGGACATCAATTGAAGTAAATTTTACGGGGTACATTCGAGCTACAACTGTGATATGGATGTAGAACATAAAGTTTGGTTACCGTGAAAGAACTACGCGCGCACAAAATACCTGCGTAAAACAGAAGGATAATGCTCTTGTGTTTCTTGACCTTCATTCTAATTTAAAAAACCGTTGACCGTGTTATACTACTAATGCATCATCATAGTCCAGGTGTAATAACGCATTTATGTTTTGATTCTCAAATGATAATATATGTCAGTGTCTAATAGGGCACATCTACTTATCTCAAGTGAACTGTGTTTTTTTATATATTAAGGGTGACAAACGAGCACACAGTCCAGTTGTAGCTAATTTGCATGCTTTCATCCCGATAAAAGGATACCGTGGGATAATTTTCAATGTTGTTTCATACCAAGTGAACGAAGTCGCGGGCGGAAGCTAGTAAAAAAATAAACAATGACACAGTAGATTACAGTTAATAATATACCTATATTATAGATAATAAAACGAAGTAGGCTATTTTACTATAACAACGTTATGTTTATGTTCTGGAGAGAAATTTTTGTGATTTCAGTTCGAGCTGTTCGAGTTTAAGGTTTATTGATAAGGAGCCAAAAAGTTAAAAGTCGAAAATTCTTTATTTAACTAGGATATTAACTTTTTCGAACGTCATTCATGGAGAACGAGGAGCCCCTTGAGCTTGGGTGCCCGTCACTGTGTACAACAGACTTCAAAATAAATGAGAACATCACCAATTTAGTCGAAGTCAATCAAATGCGTATTATTATATTATATTATATATTATATAACTTAAAAACTACTGGTTAGATCTTAATCACATTCATATGGCACTACACGAGAAGCACCAGCTTGAAAGAATACAGCCACACATGAAAGAATACAGTCGAATTGAGAACCTCCTCTGCCTCTTTTTAGTGTTATAGCATTCATTGTTTATTCCCTTCTTCCTTTTATTATTTAATGGATATTATCATAGTTTCCCGGGCGCTAAGAGGATGTGTGTTAACGACAGGTCCATCGTAACGAATTAAACCATATATTGTAACCTTATTGTATACTCCGTACCGATTTATTTTCTTAGCTCGGTAAACAATTTAACGATCGTATGATGTCTTCACTTTCATTATTTAAATAGTTTAGAATATTATACACATTCAATTGTTAGGTACCTATAAGATTGTAAAAAACGAAATCTGAAGAAATCAGTAAATTGTCTATTTTTGGAGAATACACACACTCACAATTGTGAAAATAAATACATAAAACGACGTTACACATATATTCAAGTAGAGTTGGTGAGTTGTAAGTTGAATGTGCATTTCGCTATTCAGGGTACGAGGTCCTAGCATTAAGACGCCCGGTAGAGAAGAGCGCTCAGTGCAACATCATTGGATATGGTATAGGGAGGTGTTTGCATAGGGGCACGTACGGAACTCCGCATCATTGAGAATGGGTTCTAACATCGGCACTTGACCTGAGATTTCGGATGAAATGGTAGTGCCATTTCTCCCTTTTATAGCAGATAGATTTGTTTTTATGTACGATAATGCACGGTCACATACTTTAGCTGTCGAATACCTTCGAGACGTTGAAATCAATGTTGTGGGGTGGCCAGTGCGCTCGCCCGACTCACACTCTATAGAGCATGTATGGGATAAGCTTGAAAGACAAATTAAGAAAGGAAATCCTGCCCGCGCTAATTTGATAGATCTTAAAAACGTATAACGGAAAGAATGGAACGCAATCTCTCACGATTTTATTGATAGTTTGATAAGAACTGCAGGGGGCAACACTAAGTACTGATTATAGCACACGTCAATAAAGCCTTTGCGAAGCATTAATGAAAAAAATGAACAAAATGTTAAGTACAAAAATGTTTCTTTCTTGTAATTTTTTTTAATTTGGTTCATTTTTGTCATTTGTTCGTTTGTTTTTCGACGTTTGTAATTATTAGCGAAATCCAATTTAACAAAATGATTATATGATGATGTAAATGAAAATATGATTTGTACATGAGTGTGTTTATATGATGAAGATTATAATTAATTATGATTCATACTTAAGTATTTCTATTATTATAATTATTATCATCATTACAGCATCATCGTAAGTATACAGAGTAAACGCCGCACTGTTGTGTATGTGGAGACGGCCACAAACACGGTGTTTTATTGAAGCTACTTCTCGGTGAAGTCATCACATCGCAGACCACTTTTTATATTTTTTATCATATAGGTACTTACTTTTTCGGTACAGTAGACACGTAGGGCATGACGAGCTTGTCGACAAATGAACCAAAACCGATTCGGAAGTTCGAAGTGATGTTCCTCATTGTACTTGAGAGTAAACTACCAAGTGAACTCAGCTTGTCCTTGTCGTTTTTCATAGACCTGCTAAGGTCCATAAGATAGTAAAGATCCACTGGATAGTCCTGAGCTTGGGCGTATGAGAATGTCATCTTTTGCATTTGATCTAAAAAATAAATTAATCGTTGTAAACCGGTTCCGATTTAACAAGGAAAGAAAATTACTAACAATGTCTTACTTACTCATTCTTAATTGCATTTTTACTCTCTGCGGCTTTATTTGGACCAAATTTTCACCAAAAGCGGCTCCTCCGCCAGCCATGTTGTAGCCGCTTCCTCCCTTAAAGCTAGTACTGCTGCTGCTAAAAGATTCCTCATAGAACGATGATTCCATGCCCATACCCATGCGGCCCCGTGCTGTTCAAATAATTGAGAAGATTAAAAGCAACTTCTCTTGTAGAGAAATACTCATGGAAATCAGTGGACTATAATATAAGGAACTAAGTGTTTCAAATGAAACAGTGCGTCTAATAACCTCTACGCATTTCAAGCATTCTTGTGACCTACATTTATATAGAATCGCAACTTCGCTTTTAACTGACATAATATTAACACTTGCTATTTGAAAATCGCTTTAATGGGTCCAATATTTAAAAGACCAAAATACAACATGATGTAAGTTTCGAGGTTCATAAAGTTAATTCTTATAAAATATGTGTTTGCGAGTGTGTGTACACTGTACTTTATTTACATGAAGTAGATTAGTAAACTTTTACGCTGATTATGAATACCTGGTCAAATATTACATTGATATTCATAAATTTAGTTTTTACAAAACCAAAACATTAAACCAGAGTAGGTTAAAATGTAATAGAACTGGATTATGAGAGCAGACCGAATAGCTTACACATATTCTTTTGTTTTATGAACATAACGGATTTCTAATATAAGCATGGTCCTCGGGCAATAGCCTCTCCCATTTCATTCAACAATTACAGCTAAATCTTTCATAATGGACTCTGTACGGAAATTTAAGGCAAAATATTTACTAGACATTGCTTACCTCTAGTCAACTCTTTGTTAAACATTGGATCAATAGAACGTTGGTTATCTGGGTTGAAAATATAAGCTTCGTCGCAACCGGCCGTCCCGCCTTCCATGGCGGGGTTGAAACACCGCGGTCCATTGAACTCGGGGGCGAAGCACCACGCACAGCTGGCGGTTCGAATGCAATCGCTGCAAGTGGTTTTACTCGAACACGGATTCTGAGCAAGCAGTTGTTCCGCGCGTTGTGCCCAACATGTGGCCAACAGGCCCACCCACAAACATAGTAAAAGGCTTGTTCGTTGTACAAGCATTTTGTTTCGTTTTCTATTAAATAAAGTGTTTCTGTAACAATCATAATAATAAAATAATTTTATAGTTGTATGGATTTTTTGCATTAAAATATGGAAAACTATTTTAACGTAAAGCCTTAATGATAGAATTCCTACTAAAAACTTAGAGGTAATAAGTGAGTGATGCATTACCGTGAAATGTGACAAGTTTGCCTATTAAGTCATCTTTGCCCAAAAAGCAATTTATAAAGAAATCCGTTTTTGAGGGAAAATATTTTATAAATATGGCAAGATTGATTAGTTGAGTATAAATCAAAATTTTCGGCGGCATTCCTCACGTGGATTTTATTACAATTGGCCGACTAGTTTTGAACTGGACCAAAGTCCTTAATGATGTATTCGCGGTACCGCGGTGTAACTAGCTCATGATTAAGGAGTCCCGTCAAGTTCGAAATTAACCAACCAACGCCAACCCCAATAAAATGCACGTGAGTAAAGCCCCATGCTGCTAAAGATGTACCTGTCTATAAATTTGGAACCTTGGAACTTTGGAATACATACATGTATGTAGTATATTTGTATGTATTAACAATAGATTCTGACCCTACTTTAATTTCTATTTTAAATTTCAGAAAAACAAACACGTCTAGAATTCGGCTCACAAAATTAAGCCGTGAAATTGGGCCCCGAATTACATCAAGGGACGCTGAACGGCAATTCGGAATCCCACAACGTATTATTGTGAAAAAATAATATATATATATATTTTTTTTTTTTTTTTTTTTTTATATTTTTATATATAATAGTCTGTTAGGTATTCCACAGTTTAGTCAATCGTAAAAGAGAAAACATAATGAAGGTTTTGCAAGCTGCTAGTGATTTTGGCTCTACGATAACTAATTTAACGATAATTCTTAAGAACATTTGTGCAAGATAAACAGCCAGACATAGTGATGAACTAAGCGTAAGAACTTATTAAAATATTTCTAAGAACTGACAAACAATCAACAAGAACAAACAAATAATAGAGAAAAAAGACAAACAATAATAATAATAATAGCTAACTATTTTGAAAATATAAGATACAATAGACAGCATTCACCGTCAACGGTAATTAAATAGTATTTAGATTTTTATTACAGTAGGTCATTAGCTACATATAAATTGCCTCATTTACTTATTGATTCATTAAAATGTTGATTTTATTAAGGGAGTACAGTACAGAAAAAATAAATAAATATTCATGAAATTTTCGCAATTTGGATAACCTTGGGTTCGTCGCTACCGGGTAAAAAGTACCACAGAAGTAATGAAAACACTAATAATATCTTTTTTCTACGTAATTTAGCGACTTACCGCTTTAGGTACCTTTCAGCACAGAAACAAGAGACGAGCTCTCCGCGCGGCTGTTGACATCACGTGATCAGGAGCAGTGGACGTGTGAAGTGAGTATGGGCAACCGTTTATGTAACTACTATTTTTGATAAACCTTAAATGTTTTTTTTTGTTTTAGCACTTTATTACCATCAATTTCCCTATGAGTGATAGCACTGTAGAAGAAATTTTGAAACAAGAAAATAGGATGAAGTCATATCAGAAACCGAGGACTATAAGGAACATAGTAACTACGAGAGCCATATTGAGGAGGAAGTGGATTCTGACGATGTCCCTGATATTCCCCTGCGTTTGTATTAGAGTCTAGTCTAAATAACTCTACAATATTTAGAGTCTAGTCTAAATATTGTAGAGTATTTAGACTAGACTCTACTACCTAGGCTGCACTAAAAGTATAGGGAATGGAATATTTCCCCTGTTCCTGTCATATTAAAATCTTTTTAATTGAAAACTCCTTGGTTAAAAAAAATCGAATATCATTTATTTATTTAAAAAAAGATTCTCGGTCTTGTCACAAGGTTTTGTCAAAATTGTTTAGTCGTTGAGAAAATGGAATTGACTCGAGAAAATTCAAGAGCGATGATTTATTATGACTTTCGAAGTGGTTTAACACAAAAACAGTGTGTTGACCGGATGATTTCTGCATTTGGTGATGAAGCCCCATCCAAAACCACAATTTATCGCTGGTTTGCTGAATTTCAATGTGGACGTGTCAAGCTCAGTGATGATCCCCGTCAAGGTCGTCCAAAAACTGCAGTCACCCAAGAAAACGTTGATGCTATGCGTAAGCTGTTTGAGGAAGATCGACATTTGACATACCGCGAAATTTATTCCCGAAATTTTCAGTGCCGCCCTCGTAGACTCAATGACCTGTACAGCAACCATCACAGAATATACGTAAGAGGTCTCATATTAATATTGTTCATTTGCCAGCGTCTATTATTTCACAATTTTAGAAGCTAGGAATTTGTTTCTTCCGGATGAAATTCTGCAAAAAATAGTCGATTATACGAACATTTATAATGAGAGTTTTCAAGAAATCGAGATTTCAAAGGCACAGACACTGTGGAACTGTGAGCTCTGATGGGATTATTGTACTTTTGTGGCCGAATGCGAAGCTCGCACCTCAATACAAATGATATCTGCGCAACAGGTGATAGCGGTTGTGACTTGTGGGTAAGAGCTATGTCACGTCAAAGACTTCATTTCTTATCGAAATGTTTATGTTTTGATAATATGCGTACACGCGGATAGCGACGAGCAGAGGATTAATTTGCTTCTCTTCGTAAGATTTTGAACGAATTCAATGCCTACATAAAAAGCATTACTCACTTGGAGAGAATGTCACCATTTACAAAAAAGTGGATTAGTTTATTGGCTGTTGTCCTTTTAGACAATACATTCCCAGCAAACCAGGAAAATATGGTATCAAAATCTTTATTATGGCTGATGCTGAGTTTCTACACGGGAAACATGGAGGTATATGTCGGACAAAACGATGGACCTTTTCAGAAGAGTACTGCAGCAATTGATGTTGTAAACAGATGGTGGGACCAAAAATAAATAGCCACCGGAACGTGGTAATGAGTAACTGGTTCACTAGTTTTCCGCTTTTCTATGCTTTACTAAATTATTGTGGTCCGACCGCGTTTGGAACTTCGAAAAAAAAAGCTGAGATTCCTCTGATATTTACAACCACCCAAGATCGAGATATACCTAGCTCTATGTTTGGATTTGAAAAAGATAGCACGTTACTCTCGTATGTGCCAAATAAAAAGAAAGTCGTACTGCTTGCTTCTAATCTGCACCATTATAGTAGAAAAGTTTTGGAGAAGCGAAGAAACCGTAAATTATTCTTAATTATAATCAAAATAAATCCGGTGTAGATATCGCAGATGAGCTGTCTAGAACTTACTCAGTGTCACGTGGACCTAAAAAATGGCCTTTAGTTATATTTTATGAACTTCTCAATGTCGGGGTTATCTATGACTACGTTATTGTCAAAAATAATAAGGAACACTCAGTAGCTTTGAGTGGCACAAGAAGGGATAAGTTGAAATAACTAGCCTAAGGTTTATTGATGCCCTGCATGCACCGAAGATTGTAAGTTGTTAATTTGTCACAGTCCATAACAACTAAAATCGAGTTTGTTTTGGGTTAAGATGAAAACAACGAAGACAATATGTCAGGTTCCTCAAGGTCACGATCCCACTGGGGGAAAGATCGTAAAACAAAGACAGCTTTTAAAATGTGCCATAAAAATATGCCGAGAGCATACGGTACCCATTTGTGGTAGTTATCGCCAAAAAGTAAAAAATAATTATATTTATAGTTCGAAACATAAATACGATTCGGTCTAAATTCACAGAAAATCTAAGTTCAGCGAGGCTCTTTCAGATGCCGCAAACCGCTTTTCAATTGGACACTCCGTTACAAAGTTACGAGATGTTTACATACATATAATATACACACACATACATACAGACATGCGGACACCATCGTAAAAATAGCCAGAATAGCTTCCTAGGACCTCGAAACGTCGCGATTTGATGGGAACTCCATTTTCATAACCAGTTTTAACCCCGGTATACCCGGTAATAACTTCACCATTTTTTTAAAATCATTAACACAATGAGCAATTACATCTTAGTCGTCAGATGTAACAATTTATCTAAGGTCAGGTGGGGTAAGAGGGACACCGGGGGAAGAGGGACTAGGGATCATAACTAGTAAACCGAAGTGCGTATGACTATGAACTTTTCTTCAATGAAACAGTGAATGCGAAATAGTTTGAACGGTTTTCAATAGATATCGCTACGTGACTCAGAAGTCACAAAAAATGAAGACACATTTGACAGTTGTGAATTCGACTAGTACAAAGTTAGCGCGTTTTTTTGCGAACCAATAGTTTGGTGAAAAAAGAGAGCTGGAAATATTTTGAATGTAATGATATAAGGAGAAAACTGTAATTATTTCTTTTTATTAACCATTTTAGTCTAAAAACAACTAATAATATAAGTTTCTTTCGCTTGAAAATCTAAACCTCCAAAAGCAATAGCTGGGGTAAGAGGCTCACTATTCACGGTGAAAGAGGAACATATTATGTTTCTTTTACACCATGTCAGGGGTAACACACATTTTGAATAATTTATAATTATAGGTAGGTTAAATGAATAGAATTGACCGACTGTTTTGTATCTACTACACTTTTAAATTATAATTAAACTAGAAATTTCCCACAACTTCGTCCTTACCTATATTTGTGTTAAATTTATTTTTGAAATCGCATTTTAGTTTTTGAGTTATCTAAATCACAACAAACAAATAAAAAATCAAATGTTTTCTTTTTTCTTAATTAGTTTAGATAAATAAAGTTTCATGCGTTTTGTATACGTCCCTTTCTTTTTAATTAGATGGAATATATATATATATATATATATATATATATATATATATATATATATATATATATATCATAACACATAGCTCGAAAATATATAAGAAAATCTGATAGAAGCAGATATGATAATGATAAATTAATTGAGGCCGTCAATGCGGTATTAAATGGAACAATATCTGCATACTTTGTATCAAAACTTTATAATATACCAAGAATAACATTTTTG